AGGTGCAATCCTGCACCCTTTAAAAGGGTGCCAGATTGAACCTTTAAGGGGATATTTTAGTACCTTTATGGTTCAAACCTGCTCCATAAGGGGTGCAAACCGATGCAATAGAAGCACCTGCATCCTTCAAAAGGTGCACTCCTGCCTCCAGACGCGTACGCAGGGGGGTGTTTGGGGGGTTAAACCCCCCCTTTGGTATTTTTATGTGTATAAACCCCCCTCCAAAATCCCTAAGACCCCCCCCCCTCCCCCCCTTTGGATTTTTTTTTTTTTTATTAAAAAAAATAAAAAATAAAAAAATAAACCCCACGGCTGACCTTAGAAAGGTGACCTTACCCCCCTCCCCAAAGGAACAAAATGTCAATTTTTCAAATTTCGAGACCAAAAAAAAAAAAAAAAAAGTGTCCCCCCCCCCCCCCCCCCCCACTGAGCGACTTTTTGGCCGGCGCGATTTTCAAATTTTCCTGAGTCGTTGCGAAATTTTGGACCCGATTTTAAACCCCCCCCCCCCCTTGAAAAAATCCTGCGTACGCCACTGCCTGCCACCATACCGGGACCCATACTCGAGGAATGCTTGTGAAATATGCTAGTACACAAATGCATATCAAACATGCCTGTTGTTTCTTGTTCTATTGCTAAAACGTGAATGTAATTGTAACATGATCAGACAAAATAATACATTGGTTAATGATTGCCGAAGAAAAAAGCAAATTACAAAATTGATGTGCATTGTCATAATTTGCTTAACAAATCATGATAAATGTATTTTTATGTGAACACAGTCATGTTAAGTAATCATGATTATACATGCAATATGCAAACTTTTATTTTGCACCCTTTTTTGGTCGATAGGGTTCATTTTTGTGGGAAGGGTGCAAACTCTTATTTTGCACCCTTTGTTGCACTCTTTTTTCTTAGAGTGTAGCTATATCGACTGCTATGAGAGGCCTGGCTGTTATATAGGCTCAAGGGGACGTCAGCTAGACCTCAAATATTAAAGCAGTCGATAATGTATTTTATATACCGAATTGACACAAAAATATACCAAGAATTTTTACCTTATCCTTTTCTTGAGTCAGGATTGGGTAAAACATCACAGAAAATCTGAGACACTGTCTGTTAATCTTCGCTGGAATGATGACTGAATGTTACAATCATTTAGGAATCGCAGAAAAAAGCACTGCATGGTATCCGCGCTCGCACAAAGTAAGTATTAACACGTAAACTAATGGGGATCTCATCAAAATGTTACTATTTTCCCGGTACCCGGAATCTTTAGGGAATCTCACTCAAGAACTATTAACTGTTACTGGCATTGTTCATTTCTTTACGGGAATGGCTAAAATCACGACTATAATTTCGACCAATCAGATGGCTAGATTTCTAAAAAGAGGTAGATAATGTATAGGGTATTTGTAAAGATCAAAACTACAAGATATAATAATACAATCATGTTAAGAAATATATAATACCTATACCTTGATAGTATCATGTCTACATTAAAAACGTAATTTTGTTTAAATATATTCACAAAATTAAAACGACAACTCTTTTGTATTACAATCTCTATTATGGAATATTGTGAACTCCTCATACCTCCCTAGTTTATTTCGTGAAATATAAAAACCAAAAAACAAATGTGGTTCATATAACACAGCCCCAAATTGAATGAATCTATTCATAGAGACACAAATATTGAAGGCAACTTTTATTAACAATGCGATCATAAATACAAACATACCAACTGTCATCTCTATACAGTCATGTTGACAACTATGTGCTAGCAATAAGATATTTACCAGCTGCAACAAAATAATATCCAAACTCCCAATCTTTAGGAAATACCCCTCCTGAAACAGATATTTTAGATCGGAATTGATAAATATATGATTCATAGCAAAACCCATAGGTATCCGTATGTACTACGTTTAAGGAAATCTCACTTGGGGCTATTTTCGAATGCAGATATATTTCAATGTACATCAAGTTATGCTTGTTTAATGTATTGGAAATGTAATAAAGTTTTACCCAATATTAATTCAACTTTCAAAACAACATTTGAATGGAATTCTAATTTTTTCTTCTTCATTTCTCCTTATCCCCCTTAAGGATTTTTTGTTAGAAACTAAATTATCGGTGTATATTGTGAAGTTCATATCTATTCAACTCATTTCAGAGAAAAAAAAGTAGAGCGATCGAAAAGCCTTTTTATTTTGTTCATTCTTCACCTATCTAAACTATCTCATGATAATGATGAAATGGAAGATTGTATTACGAGCCTGTAAAAACACTAAAGAGTTTCTAAGACAACTTAGTAGCCTATAAGTTATTAAAGATAGATAGGAGGGGAGAGGGATAGGGGAGAATATGTATGTGTGTGTGTGTATGTGTGTTTGTGAAGGAATGAAAGTGGGATGTATCAGTGTGTGTGCGGGAAGAAACGGAGAGAGAGAGAAACGGAGAGAGAGAAAGAGAATGAGTGAGTGAGGCCATGACTCACGAGTCGACATGAGGAAACATTTTTGCCTAGTCAGACAAGGAAGGAAAATTAATCAGACGAAATTTACCCGTACACCGTAGCAATCCCAGTTAAATCAGAACAGATGCCTACTCCAGGGTCTTGGCGGAATGAAGACACACTTATTTTCTGCATCGTTGTCTGGGTAACCGGACTTCCTGGCAGTGGCGGATCCAGGGTTTGCCGATAGGGGGGGGGGGGGGGGGGTAATAGCACTTTTTTTCTTCATTTTTGCCCCCGGGAATTGCGGAGACCGTTTTTCGCTCAGTCGGGGATAGTGTGAGTACTAAGTACAACAAATTATATAAAAACCCTTTTGTATAATTATAAACAAACAAACAGTCCAGGGGGGGGGGGGGGGTCGGGCCCGTCGCCCTCCCCCCACGTGGATCCGCTCCTGCTTCCAGGCATCATAGTCGAATGCAGATTGATCAGTCCATCTCCAAGATGAACCAGATCGCTGGAAACCAATCCACGATCTCTGTCATGAAGATGATGGAAATATACTTTTCATGATTTGATATCAAGAGGCGAGTAGGTCCGCGAGGTTGGGGAGAGGGGGCGGTGGGCACAGGGGGGATGTGCAATCCGATAAACAAAATTTGGAGAAAGGAGAAAAACGAATAATGCACCCATCACCTTCATTATTTTTCATTTTATTTGAGTGTTTATTCATTCATTCTTTCATTCAAAGCATTAATTCCAGCCAGGTTCCCATTTACATCACCTGGGTCGAGGGTGGCAATATGTAGATCAATGTATTGCTGAAGGACATAAATGCCGCGGCGGTACTCTAAACCTACTCTATCCTGCCGACCACTATACCTTTATGTTAATACCTGATAACTTGTTATTACTATTATTTTAATCATTCTTATTACAATCATCATTATCAAAAGAAATACATAATGTAATGCTGTTTATTACTGTGCAAAAAAACACAAAGGAAGAGGTAAAGACACAAATTAAATACTAGTGATATGCCATGATGTTTTTATTTATTTAACATAACAACCTTGAATGAGATAATAATTGTCCCTAATTAACATGAATGGAAAGGGCAATGCAATTGAAATACAATAAAGAATGCATTGTTATGCCAATTATCATGCACAAATCCATTTTACATTTCTCGTTTAAACCTGCTTAAGCTCGATAATCCCAGGCTCTGTCATCACAAATATGGTATTATTTAAAAGTGAATACAGTCTCTTTTTTATGGCGGATTACAATACAAAAGTTACGTTTATTTGAAGAGGTGTTTTTTTTTTTTTTTTTTTTTTTTTTTTTTTTTATACTTTACGATATAAACTAGGGAGGTATCAGGAGTTCGCAATATTCCATATATTAGAGATTGGAGTTTAAATGAGTTGTTATTTCAATATTATGAATATTTTTCAACAAATTACCTTTGTAATGTAAAACATGATATTATTAATTTGAGCAGGTATGTTTCTTAATTGTATTATGTTATCTTGTAGTTTTTATTTTTACGTATCCTCTACATTTCATTGAAAATTGCTTATCAATATTAAGCCTCAAGATATATAGGAATAAAATGACAAAGAGAGAGATGAGGCAATTGACAGATATTTGGCAAGAGATTGATAGTTTATGTTGGACTCATATGGGGGGGGGGGGGGGGGAATAGTAAACAGACTTTTATTTGAAATCCAACTTTAACTTTTGTTTGCAGTAAAGAAATAATGATAATAGGTGAAGAGAATGGAGAGATTTATGTGGTTCAAAGAGTTTATCGTCATTTATATAAACGAGTAATAGTTCAGGTTAAACCAACACTAGAAGAAAACTTGTACAAACATCAGAAAATAATATTTCCTTATTTATAGGAGCATACACCTGTTCCAAAATCCACAAGGAAAATCCGGACAACGAGATACCAATTTCCTTGAGTTATTGATTAATTTGTCTATAACAGAATAATATTAAAGGTATTTAGCACCATTAATCGTCCGCTTTAAATGTATATAGACTTCATCGGCATTGTAAGATAATGTAATACATGTAACTTCAAAAGCTATGATCGATGACTACATAAACAACAACAATAACAGAATACTTTCATTGTAAAGCTCAAACTATCGCAAAGCCTTTCAAAACCAATCTTTTGCAATGTCAATAGGCTTTCGAACTAAGTGTTGAAATGTTAAAACATGACAATGACACTATTACATGATCATAAACCGTTCTCTTTATTCATTATAAGAGGGTAGTGAAATTGCCCATATTGTTCACGATCATTAAAAGTGACCATCTCTAGCGGTTCTTATTTTAATCTTATTCACGACTTGTTTCTTCATGGTTAGTCTTTTTTACGTCTGGATTATGCCTTTAAGCTACCTTATTCATTTCTGGTCATTGTTCTTCGAAGGTATTTTGGGAAAGAAAGAAAGTTTATCAAGGAAACTTCATGAAAAGTAGGCGATCTGTCTATTTAAACCTTCAGTATCTCTGGGCTTTAATCAATTGTTGTCAAAACACTCCAAATGATGATGAATCGTTCTTGGTACCTTGCTTGTCTTGTATTTGGAAGTCTGGTGCTCGTGGTGCATCATGTCTCTTCCCAAGGTAAGTCTTTCAAAACTATATTATACAGATAGTATAGTTGTCATGGTTATTATAACACAATGCTATTTAATTCATCGTTCATCGATATCTACTTCAGATATTATCTTCATTACTTAACCTCGTGGAGTGGTGTAGCCTAAGTGGTAGAGCAGTGGTGTCGTAACCGGGAGATCAATGGTTCGAAGCCAAGTCACTGAGTATAGTTAATAAAGATTAACGTTTTCAAGGTCATTTTCACGTTTTACAATATTGGACAGGTGATTACGTAATGAAGATGACGTTACATCGTATTTACGTCAACAAAACGAAAGTAGGGCAACTCATGCACTAACTAACGGTCTTCATAAGAAGTCTGTACGACATTCCGTTGTTGAGATATGATGGTCGAAAAACATGCATGAAAAACAACAAAATAGCGCCTGTAAGGTCACGTGACCACTTTTTCGAAAAAAATATCGACGTTATGATTTGGACTTAAACATCTTGTTATAAAATTGTATTGATTTAGCTCTTTTCACTATTGAGATATTTGCCGAACAAGTTTGCATAAAAGAATGAAAATGAATAAATAATATTAATAAAGAAGATAGAAGAACCTTGACGAAATTAAGCGGTGATCCTATGGATCGCTACGCGACAGATCACTTTATAATAATCTTCTGGAACCGCTCTTGAAACTTTTGTGTACAAATAAAAGTATTATCGTGTAACCATAAGAAAGTGAGAACCTTTACGCCAACCCTCAATGTATATTCCGGAAGCGAAGTGGTATATAATTATATACATATATATATATATATATATATATGTACAATTTCATGATTTATCGATAAACTTACCCCCCCTCCCCCACCCCACTCTTGTTATGTACTTGGGAGTCAGGAGGCATACTATTCCAATCGTTCATAATATGTGTAACTTAGAAGAAAATGTTTATTAACAAACTTTAGGATATATATTTTCCGATATAGGCAGGATAGACAGCATTCGCCTTCAAGTCTCACAAGTAGAACACGCAGCTGTTCCAAGTTGTTACAGGTACATTGTGTACACGGGTCTCGTTGCCAGACATCTTCGTGCAAAAAAAAAAAAAAATTGATAGCAACGATTTATAAATGTTGCTGAAATCGAATGATTTTTTTCTCATGAGCTTCCGGTTGCTCTACACCGTGGACCCCACCAAGGGGCCCCTGGTCACTTTTCTGACCTTAATTGAATGCCTAAAACCGCTGAGCTTTCGAGGGCTCCGCCACTTGGACCCCACCAGGGCCCTAAATCAGGCCCTGGATGCTCATCTGACCAAAATTAACTTCCTAAAACCCCTGAGCTTCCGTAGGCTCTGCCCCCTAGATCCCCGGCAAAGGGCCCTAAGGCGGGGCCCTGGATGCTCATCTGATCTTTATGTTATGCCTAAAACCTCTGAGTTTCATGGGGCTCCTCAATTTGGCCATGGACCCCATTTATTTATGCTCCACTTGCTTTGCTCTCTTTGCTCTACCTGATCTTAAATACTCTAGCCCCCCCCCCCCACTTTGAAAAACGTTCCGCGGGGCCTGCATGTAACATTAAAGAGTGGTGGTGATGCGTATTTTTTTTGCCCCCCCCCCTCAAAAAAAAAAGATCGCCCTGATTCATACACTCTAAAAGAAAAAATGACTAAATGTGTTGGAAAAAATGGCACAGTTTTTTGCCGCTACATCACAGAGATATTACCGACTCAGCAAACTTTAAAATCTCATACCTATAGTCATATAAAAACTTCGAAAATCCTGTCTCATCTTTTCTCCGATTTCATTCAACTTTCACCAGTCGGCTTCCTTGATTTTTCTGCTTTCTTTTAGAGAAGTTTGCCATCAAAGTTGGATTCCCCTTTAACCAAACCATTCAACCACAGTGTGTGCATTTAAATTTAAATTCGATATTAGATGGAGCGAAATATTAAATCAAAATCTTACGACTGATAGCATGCTGTATTAATTGATGTACCGATTATAATTCATTATTGTTTACATTATTACAACGAAATCTTACTTAATCTAGCCTGCATCGTAACGTAGTATCTAAAATACCTCTTCGTGTATACGTCTTAGAACTTAGGATGCATTAATTTTTGGACAAAAATAAGGATTACATTTAATGAATTTGTCCACCGAAACCCATACAACTGTATGCGAATTAAAATTTAGCTGTTCTCTGAAGATTTCAATGGTTAGTGATTATTTACGGGAAAACTACACGCTATAGACTTCATTCTTCAACTTTTGTGATCTGCTCACAACCTTCTTTACCAGTCCTTCCTTCCGTCCTTTCCTTTCCTCTCCTACTCCAGTTTCACCTAATTGTTGGTGTAGGAACAACGAAAAAAGTAGTCTCGTATGAATTTCATTCAACGTTAAAGGTACTGTATCTCATTTGCAGCCAACATCAAATTCTGTAGAATGAAAAAAATTTATTCCATTATCATCTCTTTCCTTTCATTTCCATAATTCCTCTAAAAGCCCTATGAGCGGGTTCTATTGACGAAAGAATATTTTAACAGCCTTTTCCACTTTTGATCCTCCCACCGCAAAATGAATATATTCATACGTCTACTCGCGTACACTGGTAGGGAAATTGGTTCAAAGTATCCATTTCCAGCGCATATTTACCCAGTATTTTTTATTGGGAAAATATTTATTTTATATATTTTAATCATGTACATGAATCAAAATTTGATATTTTCAATTGAAATAATGAACCAATATTGGGATTTTACACATCATTTTCACAAGCATTGTTCTCTCAAGATTATTTTCTCAAGTGAATGTAATTTTTCATATATGCTTTTGAATGTAATGTGAAAATGCTTTATACTATGAAACTTATTACTGATTTAATAGACTTCTCTGCCTCATCTGTTTTTCAACTCTTTGAATCTACATAAGTCAATATTTTACTCGTGCGGTAACTGTGTCTGTAAATTTCATTTGTATATATTATGGTATTTGTTTTATTTTCTATAATTTTTGTTAATTGCTTAGGTAAACCATATAATGTTAACAAAGTTTTAATAGTCAGGGGTCTACATTGTACAGGCTATAAGCTTCTCAGTAGACCCCTCCGCGTATCTCCATTACTTTGTTGTTCATATTCTCAATCTTTTCATTTTCCCTGTATTTTTTCTCAAATTATTGTTAATATTTGTCATAAACTTGTAAAATATAAATAAATTTAAATAATATTTTGAAATTATAAAAGAATAATACCATTATTGAATTGATTTGAATTGAACACTATAACCGAATTATTCTGTTCGAAAGGGCGAAGAAAAAGAAGAACTAGCAATACTTTGCTCTTTTATTTATTCCTTCATTTTTCTTTCGGAAATTAGAAACTTCGTTTTGCTATAAAGAGCATCTGTGTACTGTTAACTTACACGATTTTGCTTGTTGTTCTTATTGTTTTTTTTACATTTAAATGAATGAAATATTTTTGTAGTAAAGTACTCCAATTATTGGAAAAATTGATCAATTCATACTTGATCATCTTACAAATATTAATCAGTCTCCCGTCGAAAATATACATGATTACCATACAAACTCTATTCCCATGATTTGTATCCGTTTCGATGGATCTATTTCAATTTATATTTTATTCTAGAGTTCCTTTTACCTTGTGTTTATCGTGGAGTGCCGTATCTTCACTCCACGGTGTGGGACATTGACGAATGCACAACCTGTACTTGTGATAACAGCACTACAACATGCGTAATTGAAGCTTGTCAACCGGTATTCTGCGTTGAACCCTTTCAACTGCCAGGAGGATGCTGCTTTATCTGTCCATACAGTAAGTCTTCTGATAGCCCCCCCCCCCCACTCCCACCCGCCCTCTCATTAGACCATACCTATGTTGGAATGTGTCGCGAATTCACTAGTAAAATATATAAAAACAAAACAAAAAATAAATGGAAGTAGGATTTAATTGACTTAAAATGCTAGATTGCCTGATACCGGCCTAGTCAATTATTACTGTGTTACGAATCTGGGGTTTCCAAGTTGATCCGGGGGGGGGGGGGGGGGGAAGGAACTTATTGCTATCCCCCTGTATGTTCCTCTCTAGCCCTCCCCCCCCCCAACTTTAAAATCTTCTGTCTGTTTATCTACTTATTTTCTGCTATAATCTCTTATTTCTGTGGGCCTCTCTTTTTCACGTTCTTTTTCAAGTGTTGCGAATGTCTTCAGTTTTTCCTAATGTTTTAACTTTCCCGTTACACACATACCGTCATTTCGACTGCATTATTACCAGGGTTAAAAATCGGTGTAAGCAATAAACCAATTAAGACCATTCATATAAATGCCAATAGTATAGTTGTCATGGTTATTTTAACACAGTGCTATTTAGTTCATCGTTCATCGATATCTACTTCAGATATTAACTTCATTACTTAACCTCGTTGAGTGGTGATGGCTAGGTGGTAGATCAGTGGTCTCGTAACCGGGAAATCAATGGTTCGAAGCCAAGTCACGGAGTAAGTGCCCTTTGGTACGGTATTGAATGCTCATTAGTAAGTCCCGTATATATACTTTAAATCCTATCTGCACTAGCTTGACCAGGAGGGATTAGACCACTATGCATGGTTCATGATAGGTGGTTATCCCATCAAATCAGCTCTCAATTCACGTTAGAAAAAAGGGATCCTGGGGGACCAACGGATACCGCTTAGGCACTGATTGCTATAAAGAGGGTGGATGTAGCTACAAGTAGTACAGTCCCGCTTCAAGGGGACTTAAAGCCATTGGTCTCGATGACTTACTTACAAGCATACACATGCTGTCTTAGCAGTCAGGTAAAAACACACCATCAACAATCCATTTTTCATTACCAAATCTTCTGAAAACCATTGACAGCCATCTCATTAGCGAGATTTTTGTCAAACGAGTTTACAGTTGTACATTCCTCGACTGCATGACCGACCAATCGGGTAAATCAAAGCTTTTGCGTTATTCACTCCGTTTTAACGAGAATGAATACATTTTACTTTCCAAATGCCAACAACTCTCCAAATCAATGGCTGAAATTCCGTTCAATCGGATCAAGCTTCGTAATAATTTCATTTGCATCACAGACGGGAAATAAGAGAAACAGAATGGCAGAAGTTTGACTTAAATCGGATCAACAATATTAAGAAAGATATTAATGTTTGAAATATGAGATCACCGAATCTATGCGAATCTAAAATTGGCAATTTGGTCACTGGGTTTTGACTTAGTCGCGGATAACTCTCCCGTTTATCGTGTACAAAATTATGATCAATACCTGTTTTCTCCTTAGCGCCTTCTCTCTTGGGGCAATACTAACAATATATTATGGATAACATAATTACTAGCACAGGTTCTCTAAAAAGAAATAACGATCTGTTATTTTTTTTGTTCTTCATTTTTTGTGTTGAAGAAATTACCGATTCACCAAATTTGAAGGGCTCATATTTATAGTATAACAACTTCCAAAATATTCAACTTTCTCATCTTTTCTCCAATTTCATTTAAACTTCCACCAGTCTGCTTCAATGATTTTGTTGCTTTCTTCTAGAGTAGTTTGCAATTATATTTGACTTTCTTTTAATCAAACCTTTCAGCAAGCGTTTTGAAATTGATGTATCAAAATGATATTAGATGAAGCTAAATATTACAAATGATAGCCTGTTTCTAAATTGATGTACTGATGCAATTATTTATTTCTCTCTTTATTTCAACGCAGTCTTATTTAATCCAGCCTGCATCTTAACGTATAGAATCTAAAATACCTTCTCGTGTGTACGTGTTAGAATTTAGGAGGTGTTTGGTCAAAAAAAATTAAGGGGACATTTAAGGAACTATAACAACCGAAACCCATATGCGAATTAAAATTCAGATGTTCTCTGTAGATTTCCATGGTTAGCGAGTATTCACGGAAAACTACACGCAATACTCTTCATTCTTCAACTTGTTTGATCTGCTCACAACCTTCTCAAACGTTTCGTTTTTCCGTCCTTTCCTTTTCCTTTCTACTTCCATTTTAACTAGTTTTTTGGTGTTCGAAAAACTAAAACAAAAATATCGTTTAAAAGTTTTATAACAAATTATTTCAACTACAATCTCTTTCCTTTCCTTTCTTTAATTCCTCTAAACGCCATATGAGCGGGTTCCATTTACGAACGAATATTTTTTCACCAGCCTTTTCCAGTTGGTGTTACCGTAAGCCTCCAATCTTAGAAATGAATATTTTCATACATCTGTTTTCATACACTGGTAGGGAAATTTTATCAAATAGTTCGTTCAAAATAACCGTATTCAGTGCAATACCCAGTTTTATTTACTGGACAAAATTTCTATATTATATATTTTAATCATGTACATGTATCATTTTATATTTTTTATTGACAAAATAAACAAATATTGAGATATTTTTACATATTTCGCAAGCATTGTTCTTTCAAGTGAATGCAATTTTGTATTTATGCTTTTGAACGCATGAGGTATTTCTGAAAAAAATTCTTAATGTGGTGTGTTCAAACCCCTCAGAATCATCATTCTTCGATTTTGAACGATAATATATTTTCAAACTCGTTTTTATCAAATTAATATTAGTGGCCTACTTTATTCAGAAATATCAGATCATCTTCCCATCTCTGCTACATGGTCACCGAAAACTCAAACAAATAAATAATGTATGGAAAGAAATACCCCAGAATATAGAATATTTCAAAAAACGATTTGATCCATAAAAAATGATCACATCTATTTCATCGGACAAACTTACACACTGCATATGATAATTTTGATAAGAATGCTTTTGAATGCAATTGATAATAATTTAAAAACAAAATATACAAACTTATTACTGATTGTATTGACTCTCTTTACTCGTACGGTAAATGTATCTGTAAACGTCATCTGTGTTTATTATGGTGTTTGTTGTTTTAGTTTTCTATTATTCTTGTTAATTTGCTTAATTAGGCTATATAATGTTTGTTTTTTGTAATAGTCAGGGATCTATATATTTCAAGCTATAAGCTTCTCATTAGACCCCTTCACATATTGCCATTACTTTGATGTTCTCAATCTGTTCATTATTCTCTGTATATCTTCTCAAATCATTGTGAATATTTGTCTTAAACTTGATTAATTTGGGGAATATGTGTAATATGGATAAATTAATGATACTGAGAAATCGTAAATGATGTGCATTTCAGCTTTTGAATATAGAGAATTTTCAAAATTAAAACCTTATTGAACTGATTTGAATTGAACACTATAACCGATTTATTTTGTTCGAAAGGACGAAGAAAAAGAATAACTAAAAATAATTTCTGTAATTTATTCCTTGACTTTTCTTTCCGATAGTAGAGGAATCCGATGGGCGGGTATCTCAGTTTTCTGTATCACTTAGCAGCGGTGAACCTTTGCTCCCTTGTATATATCATGGAATTCCGTTTCTTCACGCCGAAGTGTGGAATATGGGCCCTTGCAAAACCTGTACGTGTGATAACGGCACCACAACATGCGATATTGAATCGTGTCGACCGGTATTCTGCGCTGAACCCCTTAAACGGCCAGGAGAATGCTGCGCTTCCTGTCCGTACGGTAAGTCTTCTGATAGCCCCCACACGCCCTTTCATGACCACACCTATGTGGGACTGTGTCGCGAAATTCACTATTACAATACATAGATCCAACTAGATTGCCTGATTCCGAGACTCTTCAACTATTACTTTGTTACAAATGTGGGGTTTCCAAGTTAATCGAGAAGGGGAGGGGGGGGTTAACAAAAAAAATATCCCTATGTCACTATGTGATCTTCTCTAGATCTTTTTTTTTTCTTCTACTTTTCTCTCTTTATATTTGCTTGTTTTCTGTTGTGTTCTCATCTTTTCGTTGGCCTCTCTTTTTCAAGGGCACGTCATCTTCAATTCCCGAAGTGATGCGTATATGTTGTGTGTTCTCCAAACGTCTAACGTTCACGTCGCACACGTGTCGTCATTTCATCTGCGTTGTTATTAGGGTTTAGCAATTAGCCAAAGACCATTCCATGGGCGCAATGCTTATTTTGTAAAATCTCACATTCCTACACCAAAGAGGCGCAAATTGCCGAAGTGATGCGTATATGTTGTGTGTTCTCCAAACGTCTAACGTTCACGTCGCACACGTGTCGTCATTTCATCTGCGTTGTTATTAGGGTTTAGCAATTAGCCAAAGACCATTCCATGGGCGCAATGCTTATTTTGTAAAATCTCACATTCCTACACCAAAGAGGCGCAAATTGCGCTCTGCTTCATTATTACGTCACTAATGATGCCTCTTCTGCAACATGCATATACAACTGAATACAGTTGCTCACTCATATTAGACATGCCAAATTTAAATGTTTCAACATCTAACGTATTTTCATTCCCCCCTCTTTTTTTCGTATCAAGATAATTATAAACTAGTCATCAAATTCATCTTTTAAATCCTGATTCATTCTAGACGTGACCGTGCGTAAAGTCAAACCTACCATACGGAGTAAAGGCAATGTGACGACAAACGGTGACGCAACACTAGTTCTTGCGGTAGAAGTCAAATTTAAAGATACCAGAAAGACGACAGGAGTGAGCGGTGAATCTCTCTGGGAGTTGTCTGCCTGGATTGCTCCTGTAAACACTACTCACAGGTATGTGCTTGCGACATCCTTAAAGAAACAGAACAAGAGTCTTAAAACCTGAGCCAAAAGAAAGGTGTCTTTTATTACTGTAATATACTTTGGTAACCTTGCTTTCATGTTAAAAAGTATGTTTTGATTATAATAATTATTGCAAAATTATGTCATGAAGTATGTTAAACTTAAACCTATGGGCATTTTACTTTCCTTCGTAAATTACTTGATAGACATACGCCCACAATCTACAATTTCCTCATAAATCCGCCAGGCGTGTCTGTTTTGACAGACATGGCGCATTACAAATGTTAACTATTATTATTATATAGTATTCCCTAATCCAATTCATAAGTCTAATTCTAAAATCTGTATTATAGGCTCATCAACACTTTATTCATGAAATCGATGTTTAATTTATACGTTGATTTAATTATGTTATCTATTATATTTTGTTAACATGGAATCTTGTCTGCAATTACTTTGTAAGATACTTTATTTGTTTGCTTTATTAAAGATAAACTCCAGTTCTGGTAAAAACAATAATTAATTATCACAGAATCAAACGAAACTTCCACTGAATGTTCAAAATTACAAAGAAATGACATGTGCCAAACAATTTTGGAAGAAAATGTATACTGGCTGAGTAATGATCATAGAAATACAAGAAAATCAAGGTAGTACTAGCCCTGACACCATGTGTATTGTCCCATATATAGCTTTCTGTGTACAGTGCTGGTTACTTTACCAAGACTCGGCCAAATTTATTATGATTTTGATGAATCCAGAACCTTGCAGTGCATACCAATACTTACATGCTGCATGATCAACTGTTTCTGATCCATTCCACACCTTTTCTTTCACAATGCAATCGCATTATTATTTGCTAGAGAAGTGTATTTGTTTAGTTATTTTATTTAATTTATTGATAACTTTATTGATTAAATCATTAGTAAATCCATCTTTTATTAATCTATTTATCTATCTTTTCATTTGTATATTATTCATTTATTTATTTGTTTATTTATTAACTGTTTATGGTTTGGTGTCACCTGAGCCTGGGATGGGAAATGCGAGCTTAATCAATGTGATCCTCGCTGACATCAGGCGTGTGGATGCATGCAACCAGCTCATATACCAGTGATACAGTCAGTATGTAAATTATTCGTTCTGCATTCACTTTGTTCTCTCTCAGTAACACGAGGCTGGATTTCACCGAGCAAGTTCTCAATATTGATCAAGCATCGCAGGGGTACATCAAAGGAGATCAATTCATCTTTCGGGACGTCGTGTATCCCTCCAGTGCTCTGCTTTTAAACTGCGACGAGGCAAACGTCTGTGTTGAGCTTAAACGTGGAAAAAATGCAGTAGCAACCGATGATCGTCCTTTCAATGTTAGCAGTTTCCCCAAAAGGTCTACATCGTTGATTGGCTGCACTTCACTATGTACTGGTAAGAAGTAGGCCAAGCTACGGGGGCCCAAGTTGAAGGGGTCAATGTCGCTATTCATAAGGACCGCTATTCATAAGGTCCGCTATTCATAAGGTCCATTATTCATAAGGACCGCTATTCATAAGGTCCGCTTTTCATAATTGGAGAAAAGGGTCATTATTCATAAGGGTCATTATTCATAAGGACCGCTATTCATAATCAAAGAAGAGGGTCGGTATTCATAATATTAGAAGAGGGTCGCTATTCATAATAGGAAAACAGGGTCGTTATTCATAAGGGTCCCTATTCATAATATTACAAAAGGGTCGGTATTCATAACACAGAAAGAGGGTCGCTATTCATAATACGAAATGAGGGTCGCTATTCATAATACAAAATGAGGGTCGCTATTCATAATGCAAAATGAGGGTCGTTATTCATAAGGGTTATTATTCATAAGGGTCATTATTCATAATAAGAAATGAGGGTCGCTATTCATAAAAGGAGAAGAGGGTCGCTATTCATAATAGAAGAAGAGGGTCGGTATTAATAATAGGAGAAGAGGGTCGCTATTCATAATAAGAAATGAGGGTCGCTATTCATAATAGAAGAAGAGGGTCGCTATTCATAATATGAGAAGAGGGTCGCTATTCATAAAAGGAGAAGAGGGTCGCTATTCATAATAGAAGAAGAGGGTCGCTATTCATAATAGGAGTAGAGGGTCGCTATTCATAAAAAGAAATGAGGGTCGCTATTCATAATAGGAGAAGAGGATCGATATTCATAATAGAAGAAGAGGATCGCTATTCATAATAGAAGAAGATGGTCGCTATTCATAATATGAGAAGAGGGTCGCTATTCATAAAAGGAGAAGAGGGTCGCTATTCATAATAGAAGAAGAGGGTCGCTATTCATAATAGAAGAAGAGGGTCGCTATTCATAATAGGAGTAGAGGGTCGCTATTCATAATAATAAATGAGGGTCGCTATTCATAATAGAAGAAGAGGGTCGCTATTCATAATAGGAGAAGAGGGTCGCTATTCATAATAGGAGTAGGGGGTCGCTATTCATGATAAGAAATAAGGGTCGCTATTCATAATATGAAATGAGGGTTGCCATTCATAATACGAAATGAGGGTCGCTATTCATAATAAGAAATGAGGGTCGCTATTCATAATAGGAGTAGACGGTCGCTATTCATGATACGAAATGAGGTTCGCTATTCATAATACGCCCCCCCCCCACTCGGCTACGTTCCTGGTCCTGTAGGGGGGGGCGATATATAGCCCTGAATAGTTGTCTCTTTTTAAAGTAACTATATTTTATCTGTTATCTTTGATAATTATATAGAGCCGACCCCCGCTCATGTGGTGACGAAAAAAAAGTAAAACATAACACACATGTAATCCTATCGTAAATTTTCCTCCTTGTTGGAAATATTGCCCCATCACCCTGCCCCGACTGATCTTATCCAGGCTACGCCACTGAGATATTAAGTACGCCAAGCAGGCCCATTATCCATTTTAGCTTACTATTTAAGAAACTAGTAATTGTTTATACGACAATAATGTTTTTGTAGAATGTAATTTTTATTAGGACTTATGGACCTACAAATTACTGAGCGGAATTGGACCTGACAATTGGACCTAAGCCCAGTATCAACCGATCCCCCGAGCCCCCCCCCCCCCATCAGTACGCCCCGGCGCGGATCCAGAATTTTTCAATTGGGGGGGGGGGGGGGGGGACGGAAATTTGAAAAATGCGCAGACCGTTTTTTCAACTCAACATACCAATACTGACAAGGTCATATTAGAAGCACGATACGGGTACCTAGAAGCAGGAACAATTTTGGAAAGGGGTGCAAGCTCACTTCACGTCTCTTGTCCGATATCAACATTCCCCGTTTTTAAGATATACATTTTTTTGACATTTTCATCTGGGGGGGGGGGGGGCTAAAGCCTCTTGCCCGATTATTTTCTAGTTCACAATTCTGCTTGTGAGCGAAACGAGCGAGCAAAAATTTGAGCATTATATGTTTTTTGTGAAAGTGTTATTTATCACCAAGATAAACGAGAAAAGATATTAAAAATTCATATTCGGGCAGCTTGCTGTCCCCCCCCCCTCCCCTCCCCTACCCATTACGCGCAAAAGCTTTGAACTTTCATTCATTATTAGAAAAAGAAGACGATTTATTGTACCATTCTCGACTCTTAATCCTTGTCTGAATTCAGTTTTCCCCCTCGCTTTTACCTTTCATTAATTAGTAGAGAAAAATTACGATTTGTTGTACCGTTCTCGACTCTTAATAATTGTCTGAATTCTATTCCCCCCTCTTGCGCAAAGCGCGTAAGCTTTGACCTTTCATTGTTTAATGCAATTATTAGAGAAAGAAGATGATTC